TTAAATTTTCCACAAAACTTATTGGACATGTACATAAAAAATGTGTATCCGTGACGTAATATCCAGGTAATTTGATGACAAGTACGATATGATGATGCATAGACGAAATTGTGTTGATCCAAAGTATATAACACAAGCTATTTTTGAAAAGAATAAAAACAATCTTTTAAAACTATTCTTTTGAAAATTAAGGCAGCCTAATTGATATTTGAAGTAAATAAATAAAAATTGAAGAGAATGCACTGATGCTCTGCACTTGTGCGGTGTGTTTCTTTATGAACTAAAAATCATTAATTCGCAAAACAAGCCAATAAGAAGTTAAGAGAATCCAACAAGAGAATCTAACTTTACTGTGGGATTTAAATTGCGAAGTTGAAAACAGCTAAGCATTTTCAACCAATAAAAGGTAAGACACGTTATCTTACAACTCTGAAATTTGCACCAATCCGGTTCTTCTGACATGATCTGCCAAATACATACTACCGGTTAAAGTCGGGGTTCGCATTTTAACAGCCAAATAATTATAAAACGTTTAAAAACTTAATTTTAGTAAATTAGTTAGATTTTATTATTGACTATATTTTAGCATGTTCACAATATCTAGTCATAGATGTGGAAAGTTGATGAATATTCTTTATGTTAAAAAAAAATAACAGAATCACGTTTTTAAGATATGAAAAATTATCATTCATCACTTTAGTAAAAAAAGTTAATCGTAGACACAATAGTTTAGAATCATTTAGAAAGATCTCTTTATATGTTTTAGAACTTTTGCTGACTGGATAATCCGATAGAGTATATCAAACAAAACAAAAATATGTTTTAGAACTTTTCAAAAATTCTTAGAGGTATTTTATGAGTTGTATTATTGAAATCAATAGATCAAATAGTTGTATTATTTTTGTTTTGATGGATTAATGAACAATTGCATTTCACCTAACATTAACGTACCTTCCACTATTCTTTCGCATTTCCATTCAACCACATAGATTAAGCATAGATTTTTTTTGTTTCCATCTTATGTAATATTAAAATCATGGTGTCGAAATACAAAGAAAGAGCCACTATCCCCATCACAGAGAGCCACAATCTTACAACTTAATCCCGCTAAAGGGGAATCACAAACACCCACCATAATCTCACATCTTTTACCCAACTTAAACCCATCAAAGGGAAGCCATGATACGACCACTTAAAAACCACCTAAACGGATCCTAGATCCCAACTTGAGAGACATTACAACAAAAATCCACAGAACTAAATTTGAATTAAGTTACTAACAAACCTAATGCATAAACCGAAATCAAGAGACAACTGATCCAATGAGAGGTGATGTAGACAACCGGAGAGCCTTATTCGTCTTGAAAGAATGAAAACGGATCTAATCCCGTCTAATGCTCGTGCCCGAATAGTCTGAGACAAGGGCTTTCAAAATTCCGGCAAAGCCCAGATTTGGACTTTTCTCGAGATCGAATGATCCAAGGACCAAGCGACAGAAACTAAGAGCCAACACCTCCATCCCAGACCAAGGCGTAGCCCAAATACCAAACTGATCCCAAAGTATATTCTGAGATCTGAATCCAAACCCAAAAGAAGAAGAAAGCAAACTGTAAACATGAGCTACAGATCCAAAAGAAGAACACTAAAGCCAAATACACACATGGTCCAGCACCGGTGCTAAGAGAGCCACCGGACACCGGATCCAGAACGCAGATATAAGATTTGTCTTTCTGTAGCCGCCGCACCCTCCAGGAGAGAAACTAGCAGATCATATTATTCGAGTAATTAGATATAAAGATAAGAAAGATATAAGTTAGAAGCAAACAAATTTTTGACCGTAACCATGATTCATAAATTGATTGATATTATTTTGTTTTTCTTCGTTTTGCTACCAACAATTAATCAATAAAATTAAAAGGTTATTTTGCAGAAAATTTTATGCTTTTTTGGCTGAAATATTAAATTCATTGATCGACAAAATAATAGTTATTTACAAACGTGGTAAACAATGAATAAATGAGACCAAAAACATGATTTATCAATAATTGATGTATTGCGTTTTTGATGTATTCTAACCCGTAATTTTCTGTTTTTTTTAATCGAGTAATTTTAGTCGTTATTGATTTTTTTCTTCAGGTTCTTAGGTTTTTTAAAAGAAAACAAGATGTTGTGGTTGGAAATGGATATATGAAGATGTGGGATCGTGTTACTTGGTAACTTGGTATTCTTTGAAAGGCTTTCCTTGATTGGATTGCAATGAAATTTGGTGACAAGATAGACACTTGAGTTAGTTTTCATTGGTGGTGGTGGTTTGAAGTCATTCCGGTCAATAGTTAGAAAGTTATGCCATTTTGTGTGAAGATATGTCAATCTGATGAGTATAAAGAAGCATGTGCTGAAGATAAGACCATAAGAAGAAAGATCGATCAAAAGTGTTATAGATTGCTAGACAGAACATAGGTGATTGAGGGTTTAATCTATTTATGAAAAGGATTATAGATTGAATATTTATTTTATATATAAAAGTTTAGCTAAATTAGATAATTAGTAAGTGATTAGTATCATGAAAGTGGATTAGTAAGTTTTTGTGATATATGTTCTATGATTAGTCTTAACATATGTCTTGCATCATTAATTAGTCATCATACTCCCTTGATCAATTAGTCAAAATAACAGATTCATGAGCCATTGTTTAACCCTTAAGAGTTAATTTATTATTATTATTTTTTTGTAATTTCTTGCTTAGTCTTTAATCTCTTGTTTTTAGCTTATTTTGTTACTTTGTTTTTTTTTTGTTGTTGCTAACCATAGTTTCTTACTTTGTTATTGCTTTGACTAGATTTTGATCCACGCCAAGCGTGAGATTAAATAATTAATATATTTTTAATCGAATTTAATATTTATACGTGTATTGTAACCTTTGTAAACGTACAAAAATAATATGTATTGTGCACAAATGTCATAAAGTTATATTTTAATTAAACATAAATATATTTAATCTTTGTTAGTTTTAATTTCTCCCATCTATTAGAAATAATCATAAATTTTTGTTTTTGGATATTATAATCTCGTGTTTGACTCGATAAAAAAATATAGTAGTTATTAAAAATACAATAAGATATTTTCAAGTATTTTTTATATTCTTTAAATAAAATTCTCTATATTAATTACCATATATTTGTTATTTAAATATATTTGTCATTAATAATTTTTTTAGGAAATAAAGTTCTTAAATTCTTCTTTAGATAACACATAGAATTTTTCACCTAGTATCTCCTCTATTAACATATAGAGGATTTGTAACCTTTATGCAATTAGTAGTTTAGGTAAACAAAAAAAAGCCATTTCTTCTTAGCTTAATTAGACTCCTACAAAGTTAGAGTGTTATTTCATATCTTTTAATGGATTCGACACCCAACAAACTACAGGTGCTAAACTGTATTTATGCTGTTTCATATTTAGTGATATCTAATACTTTGGACGTCTAAAAAAGAAATGAATACTGTAATTTTTTTTAGCAAACATCAAATTGTGGAGGAAAGGCACATTGTGTTATAACTTTTCTTTTTTGCAAAAGAAATGATTCTAATAGGTTAAATAAATAAATCACTAATATCACTAAAATAGCTGGTTCTTATCTAGTCTTTAATTTATTTAATTAATTATCTTGTTATTGGCCAATTGTATGTGTTAATTGCTAAGGGTCAATGCTTTGTGGTCCCAATTTATATTATATTTAAACACTAATGATTCATGATTACTTCCATTTTGTAAATCATTAAATAAAAAGGAGACCAAAATAAA